AATAGAAATATTTACAAAAGTTGTAACAAAAGTGATAACAAAAAGGTTTATCAAAATGTTTACAAAAAAAAAAATACTCAAAGAACAAAACTAAAAGAAGCAAAAAAGAAAAATAAAGAAGTACAAATACTTTTGCAAAATATAAAAAAGATATTGAATCAGTTATACTTAAGAGTCTAAAATTAGCACTACAAAGAATTAAAATGCCTAAAAGAAAAATAAAATACATCTTAGATTTGTTTCATGAAAGACAACTAAAAATTATCACAACTCACAATTTAACAAAAAAAATAACAGTAGAAGATGATATAAATTAAAAAGAAGTAATATCTTTATTAATTTGGCACCTTTTTTATAATTCACTGTTAGAAAGAATACAAGAAAATAAAACTTAAAATATATAATAGAACAGCAAATCAAAAGAAGCATGCAATGCAGCAATATCACAAAGTACTACCAAGCAGCCATTTTATATGCAAATGATATAACATAAATTACAAATAATAAAAAACAACTAATAGAGATATTAAAGATAGCAGAAAAATTTTTTAAAATAAATGATATAAAGATAAATAGATCCAATTCAAAGCTGTTGATAATAAATACAAAAATGAAGAAAGAAGAAAAGGAGTTGATCTTTAAAGAAAACAAAATAATAAAAAAAACAAAGAACAAAATAGTTTATTTACTGAAAATATAACTAAATAACAGAATAAGTAAAGTACTAGTAAAAAAGAAAGCTAAAGGAATAATCAGCCAAACAATAAGAGATTTTAGATACAAAAAAATAACAATAATTTAAATTGTATATATAAACAATATAATAATAATAACAAAATTAAATTATATACTATAGTTAATAAAAATATTAGAAAGAAGTATAAGTAAAATATACTAACTAATAATAAACTTAACAAAACAAAAAAGCAGCCTACAAAGAATATTAAAAAACTGCATAATAGAATATAAAGATCTTAAAGCTATAGAACATTACAATAAGAATTAATAATGAAACAAATAAATAGCCTATTAGTAAAACTAAACAAATAAGACAGTCTTGAACAGTTAACAAAATTAAGAATAATATAAGGCTATTAAAGAGTAGATTTAACAAAAGATATATAAAAAATAAAAGAGATGCTAGAAAATATAAAAGATTGAAAAAGTAACTTAGTTTGTTTAATATTACTAAAAGCAAGAAAGCTTAATATAAATATAAAAATAGAAGATAATTTATGAACAATGTTTGAATATAAAACTAAAATAAAAGAACTTATAGATATATGATTACAAAAAAGAAGTAATACTAGAATAAATAAAGTAGGCTTAATATATTTAAGTTAGCTGCTAGATACAAAAAAAGAAAAGTTAATTACATACTAACAGCTAAAAAGTTATTAAGATCTATTGAAAAAGAAAAAAAAACAGAATAGTTTAAAGCAATAAAACTAAAAGTGCTTAGTAGACCAGAAAACAAAAAAATTAAAAATCAATTTAAAACAAATAGATAAAATACTCAAGCAATGCAAATAAGATAAAAGTATATTTCTGAAGATAAAAAAAGAAAAGAATGAATAGCACATAGTACACAGAATTATTGATAGTTAGAAAAAATAATTAAGAAGAAAAAAAAAAAATATTAGTAGAACATTGCCAAATGTAATATAAAGAAAATGAATTAGTTATTGAAATTAATAAATGTAAGAGTTGTATAAGAAAAGAAGAATATTGAGAACATAGCTGCTAGTAGTAAATAAAAATAAACAACAGAATCAATATAATTCTAGATGTATTGATAAAAAAAGACAACAACAGGATCAAAATAATAATAGATTAAATAATAGAAACAATAAAAATAAACAAATCAATAATTGAAGAACAGAAACTTAAAGAACTAAAAGTAATTGAAAAGCTAAAAGTAGAGATAATCAGATAACAAAAATTAAAAGTTAACATTAGTTAAGAAATAATAGAAGTTTTAAGAAAAAATATAATGAAAAACAATAACAAATATATAATATATACAGATAGAGTAACAAACTTAAAGACTAAAGAAAATATAAGAAGTAAAAATAGTATGAACTTAAATTAGGTACAAATAGACAAAATACAAGAATAGCTAGAAAAAAAGTTAATATTAGGTTTAAAAGAATGACAAACATTAATAATAACTGAATTAGTAATAATATGAGCAGCAATTTTAATAATACTAAGAGAAAAGCAAATAGAAATATATATAGATAGCAATACTACAATAAAAAACATTAGTAAAAATTTAGAATAAGTAAACAAAAATAAGATTCTCAAAAAGAAGAATACAATATAGGTAATGAAAATTAGAGAACTTATTATAACAAAAAATATTTAGTTAGAGTTTATTAAAATTAAAAGTCACTATAAAGATAAATAGAATAGTTGCAAAGAAATAAGTATTGCTTAGAGTGAAAAAACAAATATATTGACATACTAGCAAGACTGCTTTGCAAATTAATAATAAATGCAAGATTAGAAATAGAATAAAAAAAAACAAAAACAATTAAAAAATTAGAATCAGAAACAGAAGTTATAATTTATGATTAGACATATTTTTGAAAAAAACTAAAGATATCTAAAAGAGTATACTATATAACAAAAAGAAATAATATCAAAAGAAATATATTTTTAAAGTGTATAATAAATAAACTTTCAATTTTAGAAAAACTTAACAAAAAAAGACCAGATATATACACAACAACAGAATGGCAAGTATGCTAAAATAAAACAAAAGAAATACAGTCATATTTGATAGCATATAAGAAACAAAGGAATCTTTAGAAAAAAATCTAAAAAGTAACTATTATAATAACTTGAAAGGAATTAAAAAAAAAAAAAAAGTTCAGATTTCTTTATATATATTATATACAACACTTTTTGAAAAAACAGAAGCAGAAAAAATAAAAATAAAAAAGATACTAATTAAAAGTCTTATTTCAAAAAAAATACAAAACAAATTAAGATAGCTTCTATATACAAAAACAAGATAACAGTTTATAAACATAATAACAAGAATAGTCTAAAATATATTTTATGAATAAGTATAGAGAATTTGATATAAAAAAATTAAAAAATGAAAAAAAATGAAGAAATAATAAATAGAATAAAAAGAAAAAAAAAAAAAACATCAAGTAAAAAGAAAAAATTCAATCAACAAATAATAAAAAAAATAAAATAAAAATAAAAAAAAATAAAAAAATAAATTGAAAAAAAAATACAGAAAACAATTTTAAAATTTGTTACAAAAGAAAGAAGACCCTTTTATTATAAACTTTAAGTAGTCAAATAAGTGGCTTATTTCTGTTTAAAGTAATGTAACAGATTGCACTTAGATACTATTAGAATAACTGAATGATGTTAGACTTAGTTGTTAAAAATATTTATATAATTGCAAATATAATTTCAAAATCTTAATAAAGTACTAACATGACTGCTTAAGAAAAAAAAATCCACAAGTAATAATAGTATTAATATATGTGAACTACCTTCATTAGATTCTAAAATAACAGATTATTATTTTTTGAAAGATTTTGTTATCTTTAAAAAACTCAATATATTCTTTTTATGTAATTTATTATATTGTAACAAAATCTTTAATTTGCATAATAACAATGTTTTGATATATAAACATGATTACTATAACTATTGTTTATAAAAATTATATTTTAAATGTTTTATTTGCTTAGGCTATTTTCAAGATGAAATTAAGAAAAATGTCAATATACTAGTAGTAAGTATAACTAATAAAATAATTAATGCTGAAATACTTGATAATAGAAATAAGAACAATGATGATTTAGATAATATAAATGAAATAATAGGCAATGAGATTGAAATAGAAAAGTTATTGAAATATGTAAAATTGCCATTTTTGAATTTGCAATAAATAAAGGATTTATAAAATTTTTGTTTTTTTGTTTTATTACAGTTTGGGAATATACCAAATTTGGAAATCGGGTTCTAGAATGATCCATATGCTAATCTGCAAATTTGATTGGTTATGTCACACTTTTTTTTATGCCCTCTTCCTCCACAGGTTTTACAAGATTTTTTATATTCACCTGCTACTAAACGATAAACGAATAGTTAGTTTAAAGTGTCTATTTTCAATCATCCCAATTAATCCCGTCTAGTGGGTAAGTCTAAAAAAGGTAAATGAGACCTAAAGATCGGTAATTCTTTGACACATTTGTTAATTCTGTTGTATGGTTTAAAAAAAAATTTTTAGTAGTTATTAGGATCTAAAAGGCTTCAAATACATGATTTAGGATGTCTAATTTTAATTGTTAATCATTCTGAATAATTTTTTATAGTAACTTTCTTGGCTAAAGTAAATAAAACACAAAGAACAGGTACATATTTATTTCATATAGAAGGTTAAGAATCGTCAGCAATTATGCTTTTGAAAATTTGTATTTATACTTAAAAAAAGTTTAAAAAAATTATTACTGTTATAATAACTTTATAATTTGGTTATAACCATACAGGTATTAAAGAAAACAAGGTGTTTAAGATAGATTTAAGTTACAAATCAACATATGGTTAGTGTTTTTTAATAATATATACAGGTGGTATTGTTTGATAGTATAACGGTGTAAACACATTGTAATATTGGCAAGGTAGTAAAGATTTAGAATATAATTATCATTTGAATTATTTAATAAAAAAAAAAATAAAGCTTTGTTAAAAAAGCTTCGTTAATACAGTAATATGTAATAAGTTATTCGTATATTAGTTTTTTGATCGATTTTGATTGGTTAATGTCATGTGCTATCGAATCTAGAATCTTCTGATCGATATCCTTATACCATAAAAGGTGTGATCTTCAATATCCATTTTTGGTATATTCCTAGACTGTATTATTGCTTGAATATGCTGTCGATCACATGGTAGTTTGTGTAACATTTAACGTTTCCAACTGATATCAAATGTGCAACTGCCAATATGTTGAGTAATCTATAGTCATAATGTTTTCTCCCACCGCTTCTTCAGGTCCTGTGAATAATATTGCTGCTGGGAATTGGCAAGGAGATTTAGTCGTCAAATTACTATTGAGAGATAGGCGAGAAAAAGCATTTAAGGACTTTGTAGAGTCTTGTAAGTCTTTCTCATATTTGTCTTGAATGTAACAAATTATGCGCGTAAAATCAAGTAACAATGTATTCGACCGTGTATTCCACGAAAAGTTATAACAACAGTTTACTGGCTAATAGTATCAATAACTTTTTATTCGCGGAGACTTAAACACTCTTTTTTGGAGTGTAATTCTTTTAGTGTAACTGTATATCCTGAAATGTGTTGTTAACAAAAGCTAATGCACTTTGAATATTATCAGACAATTCTCTCGTCCAGAAACTCGGGAAATTTGCTGATAGAAATGTAGAATTAGAACTTTCCGAAAAGACAGCAACTGAAAAGAACGTTAGTTTATCCCGAGAGATCGAGATTTTAAGGGAACAAGGGTAAGTGTTCTCATATCACATAAATACTTATAAAATTGCATAAAATAAATAAATCATCAACTAGGGTTCCATTGAAAACGTGATTATATCGGGTTAATTCTCACTTTTGTTTTAATATGCGCGTACAACTTTTAGGAGCCCAGTAAACCAGAAAAGAACTGCAGAATTGGAGCAACAGATTCAAAGCCTTAAAGATGAACGTGCGGAATTATATAAAACTCAAGGAATGAATGCACAACGATTGTTAGATGTAAATGATGTTTTACGTAACCACGAAGAGACGGCTAAAAAAAACAAAGAAGAGTAAATGCTTAGTCATTATCATCTTTTTACTCCTTTTTTCCATTTTTTTTTGTTGTATTAAAACATCTTAACTGAAATAATCTTAATGTTATTGCCAAACACTTATTAGAATTCAAAAGTTAACCGAAGCAAATCAAACTTTAACAAATAAAGTTGATCTTCAGGTCCAAGTCCTTCGTGAGAAGGACGTTACTATTCAGGTAGTATAAAACAGGTTTTTGTTGTATACATTATTCTCAATATAATGGACATTTGAAATAACAAATTTGGATTCGACACTGTAAAATAAATCCTGCACTATGCAACGGATTTATAATTTTAAAGTCTCGGGATTATGAAGCTTGAAACTATTTCTTTTAATAATTCTATCTGTTTTATTGAGAATAGACATGCACTAAAATTACTTTATAATTTATTAATTAAATACTTTCATTAAACCTTTTATAAAATTTGTGTATGTTTAGCTTCTGCAAGATGAGGTGGCAACTTTACAGTTAGAATTAGGTAAAATGGATGAACGTATGAAAGACTTGGAAAGAGAAAATGGGCAACTTTTGCAACGTTGGCTAAAAAAGATGAATGAAGAAGCGGAAAGAATGAACGAAGCAAATTTGTTTTATGAAAGGTCAAATGTGGGTTTTGTTTTTGTCAAAAAAAGAGCTTCAAAATTAAATCTGTTTCAAATTACTATAGTGCATTAGAAGTTCATGCCAAAGCATTAGAACTTCAAAGCGGGGTTGTTATTGTTGACAAAGAATTCACTCCGAAACCCATCACACACACAGAATCTGGAATCGGATCAACAAGGTATTGTAATTATTATCTCATGATTCCGTCAAATTTAGCTGTTATTGAACCCAGCTTCTTAATTTAAAGAACGAGAAGTAGATCGTCTGCAGGTCCCGTAATAATACCATTAGCTGTGGCAAAAAAATTTGTATGTTCTGGTAGAGAATTTTTTTTTATTCAATAATTGCTCATTTCATCTTTTAACTAAAACAATAAGGTCCCTCATGATGGTGAAATACATACGATTCATTCATCTGCTGATGGAACTATGTTTGCTACGGGTAGTGCAGATAAGACTATCAAGATATTCGATGCTACGACAGGTTTAATAAAGCTTAAATTCTTTGCTTAAAAATATAAGCGATTATTTTAATTATTTTATTTTGAACTTTCAGGACAAACAAAGCAATCATTATCAGGTTCAATACAATCCATCATGCACGTATCGTTTAACAGTACTAGCGAGATGATTGCTGGAGCATCAAATGATAACGCAGCCAGATTATGGCATTTAAAAACGGGTCGGATAAGAGTATGTCAGTTTATTTCACATTTAAACACATCTAAACATGCACTTATATTATGCATATAAAATATATAGAAAAAAATTTAACATTTATTTCCGAAACAATATTTAGCTTACATTAACAGGACATGTAGGAAAAGTTTACTCTTCTCGATTTAACGGTGATTCCTCTAAAGTGGTATGAAAGTAATTCATCTAAAAATAGAAACCATTTGACTTTGACTGTTTGACGTATCTAACTTTAATCTTATTTATTTATTTTGATAGATTACTGGAAGTCATGATCGAACCATCAAAGTATGGGATTTACAGAAAGGATATTGTATGTTAATCATGATATTTATTGTCTTATAGTTATACATATGGGCTGCCGTCAATAGAAATCAAGCAAATCTACATTTAATGCCTTAAATTCATAGCTTATATTTCGATGGATTTTAAAGCTACCTTGATGGTTTGATATTCAAAAGGAAGCTTACAATCTAAGCTTTCTTTTGAATATTAAACCATCAAGATAACTTTAAAATTCATCGAGATATGAGCTGTGAAAGTTAATGCATTGATTTTTTTTAAATGTAGATTTGCTTGATTTCTATTGACGGCAGCCCATATATACATATTTTTTAACTTGGGAAATTTATTTGGTGCATTATATACATTATTATCTAGGTATTAGAACGATTTTCTCATTCTCTTGTTGTAATGATGTAGTTCCTTTAGACGAGGAAGGGTATGCATAAGTTTACGGTTAACACCAGCATTAAATATGAAAGCTCATGCCAACTAATAAATTTCAGAACTACTCTTGTGAGCGGTCACCTGGATAATAATTTACGGTTCTGGGATGTACGATCAGGGAAAGATATTAAGGAATTGACTGGCATCCATTTAGGACAAATTACCTCTGTTTCCGTATCTCCAGGTAAGCAAATCCTTCAGCATTGATTTGAACCTATTTTTTGAAATTAGTTTAACCGATCGTTACCGATTATTCTTTTATAGATGGATCCAAAGTGTTAACTAATTCTCGCGATAACACATTGAAAATAGTTGATCTAAGGACATACGATGTCGAACAAACATTACAGTACGTTTTTAATACTTTTACCGAGAAATTGTCTTTTTAGTAACAAGTATGTACAACAATGATTCTGATATTTTAGTGCTGATGGCTATAAAACTGGAGCCAATTGGTCTAAATCTTGTTTTAGGTAAAGTGTTGTTTAATAATGATATTATTTTCAGCGCATATTAATGTCTCGAAATATATTTCAGTCCTGACGGAAGATACGTCGCGGCTGGTTCATTGGGTAAAAATAATTTTTTGTTATTTGACAGGTATGACATATACATTGACGGAAGAATTTTCAGCAGATTTTATATAAATAAGTCCGAATTGTCACATGATTTAACAATCACCTACGGTAACAATGTGTTACTTTTTTCGTCAATGTTTACCTTGTACCTGTTAGATGTTTTACATAATGCAGTATCTAAAGGCATCTCCGTGGAAGACATATATTCCAAAATTTCTTAAAATTTATTAATGTTAGAATAACGTTTAGGTTAGGATTAGAGTACGTAGTAAATTTGCACGAGGAAACTTTTGTTGGAACACGAAAGGAAGTTTCTTATGCGTGTTTTTGAGAAATGTGCAACTTTCGCTTCGAACTATGTTTTGAACTTTCCTGATCGTGTTAGAATACACTAAATTGTAGCACGTTATTGGTTAACAGATATGGGAGATGCCATCTTTTTATCACGATGTTAAATCAATTTCTAATATAAATTCATTTATGCTTAGATGGCACTATATTTTATTGGAACGTCCAAAAATCTAAACTCGAGAAAACAGTGAAGGAGCATAAGTATGTGTTGGTATTTATTTACACATAATTCTTAATCTTATCCAAAAAAAATTTTTTTTTCTTTTTTTCTTTAGTTCTTCAGTATGTGGTGTATCTTGGAGTCCCCAGGGAGGCCAAGTGTTTAGTGCCGACAAGGATCGTACAGTGTGCATTTGGGCTGGTGGACTAAGATAGGGGGAATTAGTTTAATTTATATTTTAAAACTTTTAGGTTCTAGATAAAAACCCAAGAGTAGATTTTATACAATAAGTTTCAAGTTGAACCTGGTTTGGTTTAGAACCAAAATTTTAAACTTAGTTCTTAATATATATTTTGTAAGACAAAAAATAATAATATATTAATAAAAAGTTAATTCGTATTAAGCTTTAGAAATAAAGTCAGACCCCTAAATGCCCTTTCCTAAACGCATCACCTCTCTAAATGGTGATGTGCAAATTCGCATTTCATGCGCATGAAATGCACATGGGAATTTTTCGGAATCTTTTATGAGGGTTCGGAATATTTCGGAATCTTTTATTAGGGTTCGGAATATTTCGGAATCTTTTATTAGGGTTCGGAATATTTCGGAACCTATTAGAAATTCTGGCTCATGCGAGTTATAGTGGCTTCATGATGAATAAAGTTTTATTCATATGTATTAAATATATATATTGCTTTGCCTCTCATACGCTTGTTGTTGTTAACTATTAAAAACATACGGGTTTTATTCCTTCCGCGTCAAGCATCCCTTGCAAAATTCATAGTATCGAATACGGCTTCTTCTTTTTTTTTTTTTTTTTTTTTTTTTTAATTCTAAAATGACTGTCGTCCGACAGGTCATAACTAGTTAAAAATACACTGTGCTGCATTGGGTGACAAGACTACTAATAAACATTTTCATAACTGTCGTTCCGACAGGTCATCAATTCACAAACTTCAGAATGAACTAATTAAAACTCTTCCAATGGTTACGAGAAGGGTGGGAGGGATCAACAAAACCAGACTAAAAGTCAGGTTCATAAAAGAAATAGAGTTATTTCTAACTCTATTCATTTTAATGCTTAAATACTAAATCTAATAAACTCAAATATGTCAATATTACCACTCTAATTTACTAATCTCAATAATTACTTCATAATTACACTGATCAATACTAATCGCCATTATTACCACATAATTATAGTAGTCTAATTTATTATACACAAGATTAAAAATACTAAGTCACATTATTCATGTGACTGTAATAGGGCATGTCACATGCCTGGTTACAGGCTGATTCGAGACAAAAGCTGCCTCGATACTATCATATCGAGCAGCTCTATTGCTTTGTCTCTCATACGCTTGTTGTTGTTAACTATTAAAAACATACAGGTACTTGCAGAGTATCATTCCTTAATTGGCACTCTTGCTTCTCATTATCAATCACTCCTTTATTTATTCATTTGATCAAATTCGAACCTAAATACTTACTAATCTTCTTTCTTTTCTTTCTATAACTCTTACTTTCTTCTTTTTTTTTTTTTTTAAAAAACACATTAAAAATCCATAATACTAGAAGCACCTAAATCCGCTATACCAACTGCCCTAATATACAACCTAACAGCATCAGAGACCTATCCACCAATCGTTTGGATTTGCTCTAAGGAAAGGCCTCCTTTCATCACCACTGTAGCACCATCAATCCTCAAACTATGCGTCATAAACCTTCTTTTGATTTTGGTGTGAGCTGTTATGTGTGTAATGACAGTTGATACCGCTGAAACAAACATTCCATGACCTGATTTAGACAAAAAAAAAGGAGCATCCTCATTTAATACTGGTCAAATTTTAATATACTTCTCCACCAAACCTACTAGACAGAACTTGCTATTCGACCTTTTCACAGAAATGAATTTTCCTCTTGCAAGCTGGTCCATCTTAGACTTACTAATGCAGACCCACAACAAACCATTGATCCACTTAAGGTCTTTCATTCTCAGGTTACAAAGCTCACCCAGGCACCTTATCATTCTCAAACCTAAAGCCACTAACGCAAGATCCCTAATCTAATATTTGTAAGAAACCCCTTCTGGTGGAAAAAGAAAATAATGTTTTATTGCCTCTACTGGTAAAGGGTCTTTAGGCCAATCCGCTTCTGCATCATGTGCTACCTATTTCTTTACACTATTGACTAAACATTGAACTGCGCTGTTCCTGGTTGAATCCAGTAAACCTCTCAATCTATGTAATCTAGAAATTGCTGTTAAAGAACCAACTATCTCTGAACTACGACCCGCCATTTTTAACCAAACTATAAAGGCCATTATTATCGTGTATGAGGCTGGGCACGAGATACGAAACGTCTTGCTAGCGAAATCCTCAAAGACCAACCACACCCTTTTTAACCTTTTTCTGTATGCTTCACTAATCGTATTATCAATTATAAACTCAGCTCTATCTAATAACGTGTGCATCAGTCTATCCGAATTGCTCTTAGGTGCCAATTCGGATTGTTGCATGGCTCCAGGAAGCCTGACGGGCCTGGCAAGACAATTTCTACTAGTGGCAGAAGATCTACTTTCTCACTCTGAGCATTTACAATAATTGGCCACTATGGAGCCACAACCCAGACAGGAATAATAATTACTATGAGAGCTTTGCATTCTCTCGCATGGACTAAAGCCCGATGAATCGTCGAAAAAGGAGGGCACAAATAGTTCATCACGCCCTGCCAGTCCTGAGTAAAACAGTCGACTGCTTTCGACTCTGGACAGAAATGCAAACTGTTGAATCTTACCAATTTCACATTCAGATGATCTGCAAATCTGTTCACTTCGAACCTTCCCTAACGAGTCTTTAATTCCACAACTATATCTGTCTTCATAGACCAATCCTCTAAATCTCTTACTCTGGAAAACGTATCGGCTAGATTTCATTTGCTGGGAATCCAGAGAGTTTGAAAAATCTCTACATCCTTCTCTAAACACAACCTCCACACTTCACGAACAATATCCTTCTGCCAAACTAGCAGTCCTTCCCCTATCACCATTTTTAACACCACTTTGTTGTCTATCATCAGCATTACAAATGATCCTGACAAAAGGTCTCCAAATGTCTGAAGAACCCATAGAACAGCAATCACCTCTAATTGCACTATCAGATTTGCTGTGAGTCTGTGAGGCCAACAACCTTTTGCTATCTGACCATCGAACACTCTGCACCAACCCATCAATGAAGCATCCACGAAAACCACCTTCACTTTTGATAGTTTCCAGACCAGGCGACTGTTCCAAGCTTTCAAATTTTCTACTAACCACTTCACATCTTCTATTGCCTGAGGAGACAATCTTACCATCTTGTCCTATTTGCTCCACAGACGATTCTTCACATCTATCAACTTATAAAATTCTAAACTCTTCACTTTTGCTAAGGAGAACACTCTTGACAAGCTCTGAATCTTTCTGGCAATTGACACTAGTTCCCTTGCTAGAACCAACAATCTCTTTAGTAGATTCTCCAACTGACCTATCACAGTAATGATCTTTTCTTCTGGAGCGATAACTACACTCTTCACTAAGTCGATAATGAGGTCACAAAACTTGGGCTTCTGAGTCGGAACCCAATCACCCTTCTCTTCCACACAGATCCAACCACAACCATTTAAATCTGCCTCTATGACCTCCTTTCATTGCTTTAAAAGCACCTCCTTCAACAGATATGCTACAGCAAATACAGCATTAACGCCAATCGAGGTCGCAGTCATGAGGTCTTCTGACCTTCCGACCTCCAATTAATTTGTACGAAATTATTACATATGCAAATTGTGTAATAGCGATAGCTTATTACAAATAAAAAAAAGTCTATTTATTAAAATTTCGGTTATTATTTTATCGGTTTAATAGTAAAAGATGGAAAGTGAAAGTTCTTCACCAACTTGTACTAGGTGCAAGTGCATTCGACTACTTGAAGATTTTATCGTTAAAAATGATATTTTGGCTCGTTGCATGGCTTGTCGTATTAATACTTTGCAAACAAGAAAACGAAAATGACAAAAAACCACTAATTCTATGGTAGAAAAGGAAAACCTTATTAATCTTTCTGATGTTACGGATTTTATCTATTATGCTCTCTTGAAATATAATAGCTTAAATGATAACCTTGAAGGACAAGCCCGTTTTCAACTTCAATTTTATATCGACCTTGATTCCATTTATGAAAATATTCCAACTGATATTGTACTAAAGGAAAAAAATTCATATATCACTGATTTAATAATTAACAAAATTAGTAATAACGATGGATATATATATGTATTTAACAAAACATATAATAGTAAAAATTATGAATTTGTAACATTAGTATACTGGTGCAATGCTCGAAAAGGATTATGTAAACAACAAAAAAAGGTTAAGGATATTTCTAAACAATGCAATAGTGAAGCATATATAAAACGTTATGAATATAAAGGTTTTATTACAGTCAAAATTTATTCACAAGACAAAGTGATGATTAATGTATCTCATAGCATTTTACATCCACGGTCAGAAAGGATCAATGTGACAGAAGAAATTAAAACTTATATTAATTCTTCTATTGGACAAAGTGTACCAAACATTTATCAGGCAATTAAGGAAAAACATATAAATGGATATGAGCTTCTAACGATTAAACAGGTTTATTATTGGTGGTCATCAATTGTGCAAGCTGAATATAGATATTGTGATGATGATCTTATTTCAGCAAGAACTTTGTTGCAAAATCAAAATCAAAAGATTCTTTTTTTTAAAGACTATGGTTTTGCTTTTCTAACTGCTTTCTTCGATATATTGCCTTTAAATAAATTAATAGAACTTATGATAGATGCAACATATAACACTAATAAGCACAAATATGAGTTATATGTAGCTATGGCAATTGTAGATGGTGCGGGGTTTCCAATTTCTTATTTATTTATATCACCAGGAAAAAATCATAACATTACCAGTATTATTACAGAATGGTTTATAGCACTCAAAATACGACAGTTAATAAATATACAAATTTTTTATACTGACAAAGATCTATCACAAATAAATGCTGCAAAAGCTACTTGGGATAATCTTAAGATACAATTGTGTTTATGGCACATTAACCATGCAGTAGAGCAAAAATTATCATCAAGAACAAAAGTTCAAACAATAAGATACAATGCAGTTGAAGCTCATAAACAGTGTATAATTATTGATCCGTTATGGCAACCAGTTTTGTTAGTTTTAAATGAAACATCTCAAGAAAATATAAGCAAGTTAAAATCAGGTTATCAACTTGCTAATAAAGATGTTCGCATATATATAAAAAACCTTATTACAAAGCATTTTAATCGACATATTTTGATTCCAAAAGAAGATGGTTCATTTATAAATGATCAGCATATAATTTGGATTGAATATGTTACTGAAATGTATCAATATTGTCGTAACAATGATCTAATTATGGTATGGGCATACCTGTGGTGTGAATGGTATGCCCCAAAACAATAAATTCTTTGGGCAAGATCTTCATTTGAAGAAATTGGAATTCTACGCACAACTATGATAGTTGAATCGCATTGGAGACTTTTAAAGAGAGATCACCTTTATAAATTTAATCGTCCACATTTGGACCTTCTCTGCTTCATAATTGTAAAAAATGTATTCATGATATTTATTAATTATTTTTTTATACGTATTATTTTATTTTATTTTTATTTTTATTTTATTTTTTTTATTTATTTTATTTTATTTTTTTTATTTATTTTATTTTATTTTTTTTAGGTTATTATATGGCAAGTTGATACATTTAAATTATTATGCTATGAATGCCAACTTACATCATGGCGAAAAGAATTTCAAAAAGAATGGAACTCTTTAGTATCACGGCCTTGTGACTTTAATAAATACTTGACAAATCATGAATATTGGATTTGTTCCTGCCCGTATTTTGCAGCAAGCAGGTTTTTTTTATGCAAGCATTTGGTTTTTCTAATTGGTCCAAAATCAAATGCATTTTTTTATCAAGTTTGTATTATATAACTATAATTATGTAATTGAAACTTGATTTAAACTAACTTGCTATTTAATATTTAGGTTATTCGTAATTCCAAATATTCATTAATTTCAATATCATCGTGTAATCCTTGGCAGGAAATTCAATCAGCTTGTAACCTCGAAAAACTTGATAATGATAATGAATATCTAATCAATAATGATGAATCTATTAATGCAATTAATAAACTTCTTACTATGAATATATCACAAAAACTTTATGAAACAAATGATAGCTTTTCTGATGAAATTGAATCAAAACATGAACAACTATATTAAATTTTAAATGAGGTATATAAGTGTTTATAATTTTTATATTCTCTTGTTAGATTATTAAATCTATTTTATTAAATAGGCATAACGCATTCTTAACGAATCAAAGTCAGTTCATAACCACTAAAGATTTCTTAAAACCATGGAATCGAAGTTAATTCCTCTTGAGAAATTTGTCAAAGACATTTTGAAGCATGAGAAGAGGCATATATTGCCACGAACTTGGAAGAATAGTAATAAAAATACGCAATACTGTAGATAAATAATAATGCATACAATTATGTACTGAAATGCTTTATTTTGCGAAATATGAAATTTAATTTTAATGCTGAAAGCTTTATGAACAAACAATGTATCTTTGTATAATATGTCACAGAATTACTTTTTTCGCAATATACATATCAATATATATATTGATATTAATATCAGTACTAATAAATTTGATCTTCGAAATTTACATCTCGACAATCATATGATTGGTCGGAAGATCACCTGATTGGTCAGAAGATCACCTGACTGCGCCCTCGATTGGCGGTAACGCTAGGACTTTTGATGTGCTATCCACACATTGTCCAGATAGTTTTCACAGAAAATTCCTTGTGCTCTCCAGCTTCCTATCATGGCTTTCATAATTTTTGCAAATATCCACAGGGACTAACTGAGGCTAAAGGAAAGAACTCTGTAGAAATATCATTTTTTGCTCACGATGAACCCAAGGAATCTTTGCACTACATCATCCATCATCACATGATGATAACCCTTTTTCAAGTCGTAAGTTATAACCCACCAAGCTTTTTCGACTGTCCGCAAAAGAGACCCCATGCCTTCGAACTTGAAGAACTTCTTTGGAAGGGTCACATTCAATCTTCTGAGGTCTATTACTAGCCTGAATTTCTTTTTCCCTTGCTTCGGAACAAGAAAGACGGGGCTCACTTCTAGTAAAAACTCTGGCCTCAAATCACCCTTGCTCACAAAACCAACTGCTTCTGTTTTGCACAAACGATTCAACTCTTGCTCTATTCATAAGTTTTCTTTCATCGAAAACTGCCTGGAATTTGGCACCTGTTGTCCTATCAACTTCATAACCCCTCTCGGAAATAACGAAATTTTCCTTTTCAGCCAACCCATAACAATTAGGACTGGTTTTATAACTTCTTTCCAATACTGGACAGCCGAAACTGAATGTAATCTTCCCATAACTTCCTGACTCTCACTCACCTCCTGGATCATACTTTTCTGTATTACCACACCTTGAGCATAGTCAGCTTCTTTTTGGTTTTAACCCATCACCCCAAAAGGGTATATTTAAGTGCTTCCTAGAATCACACTCATTGGCATAATGCCCTTTGCCTTCATATAAAAAACATACTACATCTCTAGACCTGATTCTATCATTAGCACCTAAATTACTAGCCGATTGCTGACCCTTGCTGTGACTAAGTTGTATCTGTGGACTATATGTTACATTCCGAGAGAAGCTATCTTGAGATACTTGCTGATCTGAAACATTTGGGTTGCTCTCATACTAAGAGCCAAGACTATTCCACTGTTCTCCAAAACCAACAGGACCAGATCCGATTGCCTGAAAAGGAGCCTGATGCCACACTGGTTGTACAAATGGTTGAGGCTGAACCAACGTAGGCAAAAGAGGCTATACTTCTTGAAAAAATGGCATTTGTACTTGCTTATCTTGAGGCTCATTTCTGGTAAAACTTTGGTCTTGCACCACTCTAGGTCTCTTACTTTTAGAAAACGAAAACTGTTATGCAGCCAGTCTAGCTTTCTCATATTTACTACCAAACAACTCAGCTATTGGATCGCTATTGCCAGAGGCCATCTTTGCCGCTACATTCCAACCATATTCATCAGCAATCGTAACTACATACGCCCTCTCAAGTGCCATCTGCCTTGCCAAGTGAACAAACTTTATATCTCCAGACAACAAAGCCTTGTCCAAAAGTGAACCAGCTTTGCACTATTCATTATACTCCTATTGATTTCTGGCCTTCGAAAGTTCATGTCTCTTTCAAACACCTTTATTCACTTTACAAGAACCTAGAGCTTTATTCAAGAACCAAGTGGTTTGTTGAAATTGATCATTACCTAATGTATTCGAGACAAACCTCTTTTCACCAGGTCTAACATCACCTATACTACTAGTAGAACCAACCACTGGTTCAAAAAGCAAAGAACCAACACTGCCAAACATAGGTGCGGAAGCACCCTTACTATTAGCAAAAGCCTTATTCTTTTTAGTGGAAGTGTCGCCAGACACTTCTCTTCTCTTACTCTCACTAACCAAACATTAACCAGATCCTGTTTAGAATCTGATTCAGCAATCTCCAACTCATGACACAAGAGCCTCAATACATCGACCAACATATGACCAAAATTGGCTTCAAAATTAGCCTGAACACTTTCTGTACTACTTTACAATCACTACTAAACAAGGATGCACAATCATTCAAAATTTTGTTATCAACATTTTGAACCTGTTTTTTTTTATTAGGATTTTTTTTATTGATATTCATTTTACTAGGATTTTGCTCAACAAAACCAGACTAAAAGTCAGGTTCGCAAAAGAAATAGAGTTATTTCTAACTCTATTCATTTTAATGCTTAAATACTAAAATCTAATAAACTCAAATACGTCAATATTACTACTCTAATTTACTAATCTCAATAATTACCTCATAATTACACTGATCAATACTAATCATCATTATTATCACATAATTATAGTAGTCTAATTTATTACACACAAGATCAAAAATACTAAGCCATGTCATTCATGTGACTGTAATAGGGCATGTCACATGCCTGGTTATAGGCTGATTCGAGACAAAAGCTGCCTCAATACTATCATATCAAGCAGCTCTAATTGTAATGAAAAACAAATGTAAGCATTAATAAATAAGTTAATAAATGAGTGATGGGCAGAGACCTAGGGTTCGGAATAGGCCGGGTATAGTTAGGCCCGAGCCCGGCCCACTAAATTGTAAGCCTGGCTCAGATCTAGCCCAATAAAAAATTTAGAGTATGGGCCAGGTTGGGCTTACTCTAGAACCTGGTCTAATAAAAAAAACTCCCAGCTTGACTCATTGAATTATAGGCCCAGCCCAGCCTAGCTCATAAAATTACATAGGCAGAGGTTTGTTTGATTGGTTAATTTTTATAGATCTACCTGTGATTTTTCATGATTCTTAACCAATCAAATTTACAAACTAATAAATACATACAAAAAAGTTTATTACATATGTTTAAAGAATAGATAGATATGCGTAAAATGAGACAAATATGATATTTATTACTACATAGTAAACCTAAAATTATTGAAGAATCTGCAATATACAATATAATTCAAAAATTTTATAATTAACAATCCCAAACCTATTAAAGGAGCAAACCAAACTTGAACATTAAATTTGGATCTTTTTATTATTAAAAAACTAACTTGTACCTATTCAAATTAAACAAAATTTATTTAATATAACATAATAAAGTTCTTAAACAAAAATATTTATAGTTATCTCTTGCAAAAACTAATAAACAGAATATATTTTATTATATTTTGACTTCTAAACGAAGCTTATCAGAAGTAAAATCTTTCTGTATAGTAAATATTAACAGTACTTTGAAGCTACAAATAGATCTTAAAATAATTTTTATTAGTGCTTTAGTGCAATATTCTGTTTTGAAAAAGTACTTTAATTGATGATCTGTCAGTCATCTAAACAAAGATTATAGTATAATGTAATGCAAGTTATTATGTAATTTACTATAAAGTAAAATGCAGCATGCACCTATCTAAAACTTTTTTTGATACTAAGTTAACAGTCCAAATTGATTAATTAAAAATTGTAAAGCTTACTGAGGCACATCTAATGATAATTAAACCATCCAAATCAGTCTAGTAGATATTGAAATATTATCAAAAAATGTTTGGTCAATTATATAAAATTTTATATAAAATTCTATATAAATAATAGTCTGTTTATATAGAATTTTACATAATTAATCTAACATTTTTTAACAATATTTTAAAATCTACTAGACTAATTTTAATGATCTAACTATTATTAGATGCATCTTAATAAGCTCTATAACTTTCAATTAATCGATTTTGATTATTAACTTAGTACTAAAAAAAGTTTTAGATAGGTGCATGTTGTATTTTACTCTATAGTAAATTACATAGTGATCTGTATCACATTAGACTATGATCTTTGTCCAGATGACTGGTAGATCATCAATTAAAATTAACTTTAAGTTTTTTTCTTTATCTATTTTAAAAAAAATCATTACTAAACTAATGTCTCTTGAATTTTAAATTATAAAAGATTGTTTTTAAAAATAGTTTCTAGTATTCAAACAAAGCAATATATATAAAAAAAATATTTTTTTATCAATGAAGTATTATGTTTTTAAAAAGTACTTTAAAGTATATAAATAAGTTACCTAGACAATTAATTTGTATCAGTCAATCAAATAAACTTTTGTCTATATTATAAAATTATAAACTTAACCTATATATAGTAACAAGATAAAATCATTATTCAGAAAAATATAATATTATTAATTCATTATAATTAGAATTATAATAATTATAATAATATTTAGTAAAATATTAATTGATTTAGTAAATATTTTTTTTCAATTCTTTAGAATAAAAAAAAACAATCATTGCAATCTTAGCAAACCAAATGATTCTTTTAAAAACAATAATAGTGTATAAGCTAAAAAGTTTTGTCTTAATAAAATTTAAAACAATAATGATCTTACCTTAACTTAATTAAAACTAATTTTTTCTCTGTCTCAATATATGACAAATTTATCTTTTTTATATATATATATATATATATATATATTTTTTTTTCTATAAGTAGTCATACTAGTACTTTATTAAGTTTTTGAAATTACATTTATAACTATATAAATATCTTTAATATCTAAATCTAATATTATCTAGCCACCTTAATGATACCTAAGTACAACCTGTTACATTATTTCAAACAGAAGTAAGCTACTTGTCTAACTACTTAAAGTCTATAATGAAAGAGTCTTCTCTTTTCTATGACAAGCTCCAAAATTGTCTTCATTACTTCTTTCACAACTTGTTTTTCTTTTTTTTTTATTTTTTCTTTTTTTCTTTCTATTTTTTCCTAATCTGCCTTTTTCTATTTTTCTGGTTTCTTCAGCTTTTCATTTTTTTTTCTTTTACTTTTATCTATTATTCTAATTTTTTCTCCTATTTGATAATTTTCTCACAATGTATTTTTCATATTTGTTTATAGAATATGTCCTAGACCATTATTGTTACTGTATTTGCAAACTGCTATCTTGATCTTATATTTAATAATTCTGCTAGTTTGTCTTATATTTCTTTTAGAATTAGGTCTTTTATTAGTACTTCTCTTATTTTAACTTTTTTTGTCTCTGTTTTTCCAAAGAACATCATATATAGCATATATAGAGGAATCTGAATCTTTTCTTCTTCTTTTAATTTCTTTTATGCTGTTGCAATGATCACTTTTTGGATTTTCTTTTAGAGATTTCTTTGCCTTTTGTATGCTGCCAAGTATGCTTGTATCTTTTTTACTTTATATTGACATACTTAGCATTCTACTATTGTGTATATATTTGATCTTCTTCTGTTAAGTTCTTTTAAAGTTGGAAATTTATTTATTATGCACTTGATAAATGTACTTCTTCTGACATTGCTTCTTCTTGTTGTACAATGTATTTCCTTAGTCATCTTTAGCCTTTTTCAAAAATAAGTTCAATCATAAATTGTGATTTCTGTTTTTGGCTCTAAATCTTTAACTACTCTTATTTTTTTCTATTCTGCTCTTAGTCTTGTATTTATTACTAATTTGCAAAGCAGTCTTGCTAGTATGTCAGTTCATCTATTTTCTATTCTAGACAGTATTCTATCTCTTAACAACTGACTTTTTTAGTCTGTACTATTTTTCTACTTATTATTTTTTTTTTTGCTAAACTATTAGCTTTATCATTCTACTTGTATTTACTATGATTTTTAACTTTAACTAAATCTATCTGAATGTTTTTTGTTTTAACAAGGCCTTTAATCTTCATTAACCATATTGCATTCTTTTTCTAATAATCTTGTTTCTGTTTGCTTATTTTAGACTTCTATTAATGTTTCTTATTGCAGCATTACTATTTGTGTATATTTTTATTTGCTTTTCTTTAGGTATTGTTAAAATTGCTACCCAAATTGCTACCAACTCTGCTATCATCAACATTTGCCATCCTTTTAGTCCAAATGCTAACTCTTTTTTTGGCCATTCTTATGTTTCATTTGTTTGCATCTATCTAATACCTATATTGTTCTTAGACAATGACTTTTTACTATTTTTCTTATAGCTGTATTGTCAGTATATATTATATATCTATTTTTGTTTCTTATAATGTTTCTTCTTAGGACTTTTGTTATTTCTTGACTAATATTTTCTTTCAGTTTTTGTTATTTAATAATTTCTATTTCTAGTTCTTCTATCATTGTAAGACCTTTTAATTTGCATTCACTTATTTTTGATCTGTCTATTCCTATCTTGTCTATTATTTGGTCTATTACTATCTTAATTTGATTGCTACTCTTACTTATTAATCTATTTGAATTACATGAATGTTTTTATTTAATCTTATCCATTGCTAGTAACTGTTTTTTATTTGTTCTTCTTTACTTATACATCTTTCATATCTGTTGATTTCAGTTGCTATTTTGTTTTTTTTATACTTTATTTGCCAATATTTGATTAATGCTTTTTTCTTTTTTTTTGACTACCTTTCTAATCTGTCTATGGTCTTGTGTGCTATATACTATTTATTTCTTTTTTCTTCTATCTTCTGATATATGCCTCTATTCAACTTACATTGTCTGAGTATTTTATTTATTTATTTCAAAATATCTTTGTATTACTCTACTCTCTAGACTGCTAAGCACTTTTGATTTAATTGTTTTGAATTATTCTGCTTTTTTTCCTTTATTTGATTGGCCTTAATAGCTTTTTAGTTGCTATTATGTGATTAGTTTTTCTCTTCTTGTGTCAAGTAGTTAGTTCAGATATATTAAACTAGCTTTATTTACTCTAACTGCATTTTTTTTCACAATTGTATATCTACTAGTTCTTGTATTTTAGTATTATAATTAAACATTGTTCATAGTTTACTTTTTGTTTTAATATTTATTTTTAGTTTTCTTGCTTTGAGTATTGTAAGGCATACTAAGTTGTTCTTTAAATATGTTTCAATTTTTGGCTGCTCTTCTGTTTTCTATATATCTTTTATTAAACCTGCTCTTTGATAGCCTTGTGTTATTCTTAGCCTTGTAAGCTGTCTAAGACTGTCTTGTCTGTTCAGTCTTGCCAAAAGGCTACTTACTTGCTTCATAATTAATTCTTG